TCTTCAACAAGACTTGAAAAGATACTCGAACTGTTAGTAATAAGCACAAGCAAAATAGTAGGTCGTCTGTGTGAAGTCCTCCCAGGAAGACAGAGTCTAGAATCTATACACAGTAATAGTAAGGCTGCCAGCAGACCATTAGCATGACAAGAGAATTCTCAAGGACAATTTATACTAGCAAAATTAATAAAAATGGAATGATACCATGAACTTGGATCCCAATTCTACAGAACTTGGATGCCAGCAGCTACACAATATTCCAATTCTACCTCTCTTAGTTGTACCTGTGATCTGGATTGATTCCATGAACTTGGATCCTTGGATCATTGGATTATGATTCTAATATTGAGGACAAGAACATGCACACAATGAAAGGATGCGTCAATCAATTCCAGAACCAAATGGGCATAGAGAATGGAGATCCTCATTAGCTGATACCTGTTCTACCATCCCCATTCCACCCCGTCTATTTGGAGAAACGGAGGAATGAACTAAAGATGGAACCTATGATGAATTTCATTAACGGAAAAGGACCAATACAATTCCATTAGCGTTGTGGCAATCGGAAGGAAATCTAGAAGAGCGGGAACATGCATATCTTCCACTACTGGAAGCACAACATAGCTACAGAGATCGTGCCAAGAAGGAAGACTTTATAATATAACAAGAAGAAAGCATCACAAATGGCTTAATGGATCATCAGGGAAGCAACTTTTATAGGGTTACTTCTGCAACTCCACTTTATTTCGTTATGGGAACTGAAACAGCAACAACAAAAAAGCACATATTAAAAAGACAAGCGACATCTATAAACTGGCAAGTGAAAAGAGTTGTCAAGACATTCCCAGTAAAAAAAGCTCTAAACTGTTTGAAACCGAGATAATTTCATCTTTAGCACGAACGACTTTGGCTTTGTCATTTAGGTATACATTGTAGGGCACCTAAGAGGGAGTAGATATTCATGCTAGCACAGGGCAGGAAGTTTGATGAACTAATGCAGGTCCAGCAATTGGAACAAGGAGTTTAGACAAATTAATGTCCTCCCACAAAAGAGATAGACACACTTTAGATGCGTCAATCAAGAACCTTATGCAGTGACTGCATTTATCACTAGCATTTTGGAAGCAAAGGGAATCCATTTCATGACCCGTGCGCGACAAAAAGTAGCAAATAAGGAACGACACTCATATATTGACGAGTCTATTCTTTTAGACCCATCTGCTGTCTTCATACTGCAAATCCTGGCGATGACTACACACAAATGCTAAAATAAAGAAGCTCAAAATGCTCTTAGAAACATGCAAGTTTTTGACAGCTAATGGTTCGAAGGATCAGACGACTGTCCGAGAAACTTAAGAGCTTTTAAGTCATTCTGGTGCTTAGCACTTTTCCTCTAGGAACTAAAAAGTATCAGACAATATTTCGCAGCAGTTATCCTGGATTATGACCATTGGGTCACTCCATTTCCTTAACAGTGGAATTAATCTCTTTACATATTTACCCCTAATCATATCCCAGCTAATTAGTTTTGAATGTGGCACGGCACTATTGATGTTGCAAATTGAAGCCTGTAAAGAATTATCTTCTAGAAGAGAAGATAGTAAAACCAAGGATGCTAAACTATATACCACGATGACAACAAACATGGAGCTGTTACAAACTACCAACTCGTTGCATTATCATAATGACATTCTGGGATACCACTGATTGAAGGTCTCTGGTTCAAACATTATCCAGATCTATAAGACGATGGCCAACCTTAGCTTAGTCATGTCATCTTTCCACTATTTCGAGATTAATCATCTAATCCTTCTTTGCAATTGCTGCAGGGGAAACAGAAGTCAGAAGGTGTGTGTTCTTTGGACTATGAGAAGCTGCAAGAGAATAAAAATTTCCATCCAAAAATAGTTCGTTCTGCTTTATAGATCAGTATTCAATGATGCAGGTCAAATTATAGGTGAAGAAAATGTGATTAAAGGGAAAATAATAGAAACTCTGGACCTTCACATTTTCAGAAGTTACATGGCCCTGATACTACTGCCAAACTGAAGTGAGGTACCAGTCCCTTATATAGCTGCATTAGATCTCAGCATAACGCAGAAACTCTTCCTGTGTTCAGGGGATTTTTATCTGGCAGAGTGCCATAATAGTTCAGTTGGAGCAAGGAGATCTGGAAATGGTTGTTCTGTATTTTCTGGTAAGATTGATCACAGAAGCAGCTCTTGACCCCTCTTAATCAGGTGCCTTTTAACCCAAATATGACTGCTCCATGCTGCCATGATTTAGCATATACTGAGATTTGTCCTCAGATGCTAATGCCACCATCATGACATCCACTGCTCATGTCTATGGCACTTACTTATAACACTACACAAATTCGAGTACGAGCATCTCGTTAGAACTAGAGCATGCGTTCCAATCGGGATTCCAAGTCCTAATGTCCTGTACTTCAAGAAAAGCAGAAAGGTTTACTATATTATAGGAACCTAAGCGATTCAGCTAATGCAAAAACCCTGAGTAAAAGGATGAGGCTAGACTTGACTGGTCACAATTTAGAGCTTGAACCCAAGAGATACAATCTTGCAAATCCTTTTCCATTATAAGTCATACCATCATTTGAACCAAATGTCAAGTACTGTCAACTCACTGAAGATGCAACAACTTCCAGAGATGCAAAAACAATTAGCCAAAGGATACCCCAGCTCTCATGCTGCACATCTAGATGCATGCTAATCATGTACCTTATACTCGAACCACTTAAATTCTCAAATCACTTAAATTCCCACAATTATTTGCTTAAACCAAAGAATAGAATAGAAGCGCCAACATGCAGAAACAGGGGTAATGGGTAGGAGCTAGTGTAGAACCCTAAAGACAGGCATACACAATTTGTTAAAAGAGTCGTCCATCTCATTCACTTTAACAGGTAATAACTAATTTAACAACCCCTTGCATTTCCAATTAATTTCAGTCCTCCATAAGTCTAATATATTTTCCTGTCGAGAGAAAAATTCATCTTATTTGCTATTAAACTACAGCAAGACAAACACAAGTCATATTTAGACGTAGAGTAAATCTTCACCTCAAAATTCAACTGCTGGAGATTTGAACATAAATGGTTTTATGTATATTTTTTCACCTTGATACCATGATATCACATATAATGCAACTACCTGCTTATATAAAAACTTCTCAATACAACCTCAAAGTTACAAGGTGTAACATAATATAATGGAACAAGTTCTTACTGTAACTAGAAAACAGAAAAATTATGCAAAGAATAACTCTGGTACTCTTCCCAGATACATGGCTTACCTACCCACTCAACATTCTTGGAAAACAATCAAATCGAGGGTTCGGACGAGATCCAATTTTTACATGTCTACCTCCTTATCTCTGGTGTCCAATTTATCTAAGTTGCTCCGACATGGTAGTTTAGGTGCCGTACCGGTGTCGACACGACGGTGTGGGTATGAGATCCGTACTGGATCTGGTCAAACAATTTCGGGTACTTTGACCACGACGGACGAAAAATTCGAGACAAGATACAATTTGGTTCCCGAAATCAGAATCCTAATAATTAGGGTAAAGTTGAAAAAAATAGCATACATTATCTAAGAAATCAATCCTTTACTTATCTACAACTTGAGAATAAAAAAGAAATCCACACTTTACAATCTATACTTAAGTATTTCACATAATTTCTGATAATTTAGAGACATTTTTTATATTTTATTTTTTTGAATTATTTTTAGCCAGATCCCCCCACCCGTATTCGTACTAGGATCCGTATTCCCGAATCTTAGAATTTACATCTCGAAGGATCCGACCTCTAGATCCGTACCCGTGTCGGACACCCGTACTCGTGTCCGAGCAACTTAGCAATTTATAACCTTAGATTCATTATAAATTCGGTGACCTATTAAACTGTATCTAGCCATAAAGAAATCGCAGCCTTGTGAGAAACTAACACACATGTGCATTTGCAAGTAAGTTACACACAATGAGGGGCAACTTTTTAAAATAACACATTGACAATACCTATACTACAACTGTAACTAGTCATCATAAAAGAATTTGAGCATCAAATCCAAAATAGCAAGGCAATGAGTGGAGTAACTTGAGACCTTATAAACCATTTGGATGCCATAGGCTTTATATGACTCAACACCTTCCCGCACATATAACCCAATTTTGGAATTTACACTATGGACTTTAATATGAACTTACTAGCGAGAGCATGGATTTGTCGAAATTCGTTTCCGTACTATGTTAAAGAATTTGAGCACCAGCTCAAAAATACTAAAGTAATATATGAATTACCCCATAACCTTCATAAACACCTACATATGCCCTTGTATACTTGAATTAGGACATGTTATAAACTAAACACTCATTTACCAAACCAAAATGAGGCCTTTTGCCTCGTCATGCTATCTCTATGTAGTGGAATTTATAGTTATCCATTCCAAGCCGCAAGGGTTCTATCTTGCACCAACAGATGTGGTTGCAACCTTAAGTTGTATTGCTAGGTGAATGAAAGTACTAGATGACGAACCAATAGTGTCAATTGTCATAAAAAAAAATTAAAATAATATAGTAAATACAATTCAAAAATGACTGTGAAAAGGACTAAATACTTTTACAAAAACAAATAGACATATTTTACTTTTGTTTGCTTTTGAAAAAGCAATAGCAGCTCATTTGAAAGGCTTGTTATGGCTTTTGATAAGTGAAACGACCTTATTAACCTTGTCCTGTACCATCACTAAAAGAGCAAGAGATATGTGTTGGAAGATTAACTTATCACTATGCTTGGGCCACCAAAGAGATGGGTCATGAAAAACAAATCTAAGTAGCATCTCCAGTGGAATGTGGCAACAAAAGTTGAGCTTGGTTTGCTAGTAATTCTGCATTACTATAGTCATAACACAAAAAACTATCTATTGATTTCTCTCTTATTGAATAAATTTACAAATAGTATTTCTTTTATGTTGCAGTTTTGGCAAAGGGAAGCTGCATTGCTGAGGCAACAACTAGAGAACCTGCAAGAGAATCATCGGTAAGCTCTTCTTTTCTAATTAGCATAATTTTTCATGTTGTGAGTGAATAACTTATCCAACTACGAATAGGACTAAACTAAAGGCATGTTGACCATATTGTTAAATCCATAAGGTTGGACTTATTTTGGTAACTTGATGCTGCTTGTAGTTTTATTTTATTTGGTGAATCCCAAACCAAACCCCTCTACATAGGCCAACAATGGAACTTTCCACTTTCCCTTAGGTGACTCGATCTCCAAACCTCTTGATTGGAATTGGAATGTCCGTGCCCAATTGGTGACTCGAATGCCCTTAGTCTTGGTTGGAGTTGTAATACTCTCCAGGTGGCACTATTGATTTTTGAGAATTACAAGTGAATTCCTTTGAGATGAAGGTAGCCATTATCTAATATTGAAATACTGCTCCTCACAGAAGTCATCTCATTTAACAAACCGAAGTCTTTCCTTCTTTGAATTCTTGAAGTGTTTGAATACCTAGTCCATTTTACTTGGAAAGTTTTTTGAAGAACTGTCCCCAAAACAGATTGTTTTCTTGAAAACAAAAATGGTTTCCAAAAAACAAAGCAATTTAAGGTAGGTTTTTTCACAAAACTAGCACAAATATTCTTAAAAGCATATTTCTCAAAGGTAATACAAATACATAACCTTTCCCCAAATTACGGAACTTTCTCCAAAACCTACTTCCAGGAATTAAACCAAAAGCAAATCAAAATGCCATCTCAAATCTTCTATTCCATTGAGTTATCTATTGGAGCTTTTATTGTGAATTATTCCTTCACTAAATTACTTGTTAATTAACCGATCCAAAAAAAAAAATACTTGCTATTTAGCTCTTAGCAGTTTATCTCAAAATTTTATTGAAGTACTTTTTTTTGATACGGTAATGTAAATTTCATTAAAAAAGTACTAAGAAGATACAGAAAGCATACAAAACTTCAGCACTGCCGAAAACTATTACAATCTCAAAACTTCTATAAAATCCACGTACTGATCTAAGTCTTCTACCAAACTTCCCCTACACCAAAAGTTATGAAGTTATGAAGACAACTATTTCTAACACTAGCTAAATGATTCTGCTGATTTTTAATACACTCTTATTTCTTTCCAACCAGATGGTCCAAAAGATACGGTCCTCCAGATTTGCTTTAGATTTTTCCTGACTCTTTGATTCTGCCAACAAACCAATAGATCTTTCACCTTCTTTGGCATCACCCATTGCACACCAGTCAGAGCGAGAAACAGATCCCATACCTGGCTTGTATAATTGCAATGCAATAAAAAGTTGTTCTGCAGATTCCTGGGAATTTTCACACAAAGAGCATCTACTGCAATAAGGAGTTCCCCTTCTCTGCAACATATGTTGAGTTAAACATGCATTTCTAGCTAGTCCAGCCAAAGCAAGCTACTTTAGGAGGTGCTTGTGATTTCCACATCATCTTCCATGGCCAAGTCAAATCCCAGTGGCCTATTTGTTTTTGCAAAAGAGTATAACAGCTCTTTACTGAGATTTGCCATCCTTCCCAGCTGGCCAAATCTGAGAGCCCAACATACTAGCATCAAGGGTCAAAGATTCCAGCCAATGTAAAAGTTGACCAATTTCATCAGACACCCAATCATTAAAATTTCTCCTAAAATTTGATCTCCATTCTTCCCCTGTATGACACTCTGCTACTGTACACTGCGTATTCCTGGTTAAACTATACAATGTAGGAAATTTGTTCATCAGTTTATCATCACCTAGCCAGACATCTGTCCAGAACCTGATTCTGCTTCCATTTCCCAGCTCTAATGAGATGAATTTTTGAAATTCGAGCCACAATCTACTTATTTGCTTCCGTACTCCAGTTTTTGATGGTATAGATACTGCACGAGGTGCTCAAAAGCCTTCTCTACCATATCTGATGTCAATAACCTGCTTCCAGATTTCCTCTCCACCATCATTGTATTTCCACAACCATTTGAACAACAGACTCTTGTTATGGAGCTTTAAATATTTAACTCCTAAACCACCACCTTTCTTGTCTTTAATAACTTTCTGCCACTTTACCAAATGATAACTTTTTCCTCTCAGCATTCCCCTCCCAAAGAAACTGATTTCTCATGGAATTAAATTTCTTTTCCTCACTGACTGGGATGGGGAAAAGAGACATCAAATATGTAGGAATTCCATTCAGCACACTATTAATTAAAGTGAGCCTCCCACCTAAGGATAGATATTGAAGTACTTTAATCTTTTGAGCACTTTAAGCATCCTTCTATGAAACGCAGGCCCTAACTCCATTCCATTGAATTATCCCGTAGGCTAAGGGCACAAGTTTTCTTTGTTTTTCGTTTTTCTTCTTGCTTGTATTTCCCAACCTCCACAATCAATATCGCCTCCTTTCCTCTCCTTTTTCTTTTCTTTCTTCCTCTCCCGCACCACCAGTAAACACCCTCAGTCCATAGCTTATTCTCCTTCTCATTTTCCTCTCTACATATTGGTGTCAAATAAAGATATAGAGATAAAGAAAAAGAAAAAGAAAAAGGAAAGCCTTGATGAGTTGTTTGCTTGTAGTGGGATAGTGTTTAAAAGAAGAAGAGAAGAGTAGCGGGTAAGAGATGAGCCAAGATAATAACCAGAAAGAGACTATCATGAAGGAATATAAAATGGAAAAGTCTCCTTTCACTGTATGATGAAAGGCTAAACTCATGTAAAAAGTTGAGCAGGTAATGTTCGGGAAAGTTCTAGTACTAGATAGTTCAAGGAAACTACATGCCTTACTGTTGTTTATAAGTGGTAATTCTCTCACTCTACCTTCTCTCTAATGTTCTCCTTCATTAGAAGCCAGATCTAATAAATCTCCTCCCATCGCCTTCAGAATCAATAAGGATACCATTTGTTCCAAACTTTGCTTCTGCAAGCCAGGGCATCGTTGCCACTCTTTCAGCCACATAAAATGCCAAATAATCTCCACATCCTACAATCGAGTGACCTACTAATCCTGTGCTCTAGTTGACCTCCAAAATAGGACCAATTTTGGTGATTCATACACTCATTTTGCTACGAACATATCCCAGCAGGACATAGGGCTACTGGTTGTTATACTTAATTCCATCATTACAATCTTAGTTATGGCTCATACCAGATTATTATGGAGCAAACCACAATCATAACAAATGGAGATGTAAAGACGAATATTTAGAAAATTCCACATCAAAATTGAAGCAACAGAAGATGTGCAACATTTGTCTTGTCTGCTCGAGAACATACATACATAAATGTTCGCTTCAATGCATTCACCGGTGCCAGAACAGATAAAAGGTATTCATGTGTAAGGTCATTGAGATCAGGTTCACTGCAAAATGAAGGAACCCTGCAATAACCTTTAGGGGAGAATTATTTTCTTTACGTCCCTTTTTTCCGGGGGGTGGGGGGGGGGGGGGTGTACTTAATCGGATTATAATACTTACCTTGTTGAAACTAAATATGATGAAAGCCTCAGCTCGGGGGGGGGGGGGGGGTGTACTTAATTGGAGTTATATAATACTTATCTTTTTGAAACTAAATATTATGAAAGCCTCAGCTACCAGAAAATTATGCAGACCTCAGTTGCCAGTGACAAAGTAACATACATTCATCTACCAGTATAGTTGTGTTGAATCAACAAAATACCTACTAACTACGTCACGAAATCTTTCCTGTTTCTTTAAAGTAACAACATGGGATAATAAACTTTTTCATTTTACTTGAATATAGTATAAGAAGTTCTGAACTGTAAGGTATAAGCCTATTTTAGTTACTTCTTGAGACACAGATTTCTTTCCTCTGTACTGCACTTCTCTCATGCTCAGGCAATTAAAGATATTTTATTTCATAGCACAAAGAGAGAAAAACAACAGCACACAAACTAAACTTGTGCCAACAAAGGAAACTTCAAAGGTTCTACTAGAGCAGTGTTGTCAAAGGCGCGCATAAGCCATGAAGCGAGGCTCAAAACACGTTGAGCGCTTCGCCTCGCTTGGTGGACGCTTTAGTGTCGCATCAAAGCTCTACGGCATACTTTTCCTTGCCAATGAGTGTAATCCTAAAAAGGCGACCTTAAACAATTGATATTTCACTTTATAGTGAATTTTTTTCAATTTCTTTGTCCATATAATTGTTAAACATGCTTATAATGATTAGTCTTGGACTACATGCATATTTTTACTTTTTCTCCCGTTGTGCCTTTTTTCATTAAAGCCCACGCTTTATTTGCGCTTTGCGCTTAAAGCCCCAACGGACCTTAGAGCTTTTTTGCGCTTTTCGCCTTTGATAACACTGTACTAGAGGTAGGTGTGCAATGTGTAGGGATGCCCCTCTATTATCTTCATGGATGTTGACTTCCAAGGGTACTTACTTAAGAAGCAGGAATAAACAGAGAAATTAGGCCTTAATTTTCAACCACTTTTCCTGCAAACACTGAAGCGAACAGATTAGATAGCTTGAAACATTTTAGTTTTGAAATAAGAAGGTTCAAAAACCCTAATGTCCACTCGAGACTCTCCCGAAAGTATCAAATCTGTAAGTGCTAACAGAGAGGCATTTAAGATCCTACCAGGCAGGTGGTGTTAGAAAATGAAAGAGCGATCTGGAGAAAACTTTTTTAACTTTGGGAACACCTATTTATTGGGTTGAATATATTTCTCCAACATGGGACAGTATAGCTTAACATTCTAGCCTGCCCCTTCAAACTCAAGGTGGGAAACCAACTTATGTCGCTTATTTTGAATAAAACTTGGAACAGAATAAATTTACCTGAACAATGAATAGATTCCTGAATAAGGAAACCTATCCTCCAACACGAGAAAGAAAGGTGCTATGATAATTTTCCCAGACATCACCAGTGTAGCAACCAAGTCTTAAATTGGCAGTTGAACAGTAACCAAAGTGGTGCCTGAAGAGAACAACAACCGGAATATTGGCAGGAAAGATGTCAACAAATTTTCTGGTAGCATGCAAGCCCAAAATAGTGGCAGGAAAGTGATGTGATGCCATGCCACTGATTACCCCAAGAACAATGATGAGAAAAATTTAAAATCGTTTAAGGAAAAACTTTGGGGTAAGGTGGATGTTGTTAGGGTCAGAAAGCTGGACGAGAAAGTGACTTAGATTTATACTATGATCGTAGAGTCTCTCATAACCAGCGAGAATATGAGAGATATTCTAACTAGGCATTGATATATTTAGAAGAAGATACACATACCTATGGTGCAATAAAACTTACACTAACATTCTACCAAGTGTAGCATAACAATAAAAAAGGATGAGGCATTCCCGTCGAAATATACTTCTTAAAATACATTCACTACCCTTAATCGATCAAGGGAAACTCAAATGACTAGCCACTATATTCCCTCGACAAGAATTATATTAAGCAACAATTTACAATGAACACAGAATCTCATATTAATAAAGTGTTAGCATGGACTTAAATGGAAAACCACCTTATACTTAATATATTACAGTACAAGGTAACCTCCATTATAACAATTACTCTATAGTAAATCAGATGCAGATCTGGGAGGACTGCACATGATGTGCCTCACCAGTATAAGCTTACAAAACCACTAAAGTTGGAGACTGTGACCTAATCATTGATAAGCTAATATCATATGCTATTGCGGATTTCTGTGGGAGCTCAAACTGTCAAGTTCGTCACACCAAAACACCATGTATTGTGTAGCTATAGCTTTTTTTTTCTTTTTTATAAGTCAATATAGTTACTTCTAGAAGTGAAATGAATACTGCTAGTCTGTAGTGAAGTCATGGATATTATGTTAAAGGCCTAGATTGGCTTAAAAGATTGTTTCTCCTGCAGACAAATGATGGGTGAAGAGCTATCTGGACTGAATGTCAAAGATTTACAAAACTTGGAGAAGCAACTCGAAATGAGTCTTCGTGGCGTCCGTATGAGAAAGGTATGAACTTTCACCTCCAAATGTGCCATATATTATTGTGTATAAATAGTACTGACGACCACTACTTTCTGTAGGACCAAATTCTGATTGATGAGGTGCAAGAACTAACCCAAAAGGTCAACCACATAACTGCAGCCACTTGTTGTCATTATCCTATGAATTTCTCTGAGAAGCTAAACTCCATCTGTTTCTTTGCAGGGAAATCTCAGCCATCAAGAAAACATGGAACTTTATAAGAAGCTAGACCTAGTTCGTCAAGAAAATACGGAATTGTATAAGAAGGTATCGATGTATATTACTAGAAAAGAGTTCACTTACTTTAGTAGATAATAATTTCCTTGCGTATTAAAAATCAAGACGAAAAACTTTAGTCATTCTGCTTCAAAATAATTTCATGTTCTGCCGGAAATCAGGTTTATGGAACTAGAGATGCAAATGCAGTGAGCAGAAATGCCATGAGTTCAAACAGTTTACGCGTCAATGAGGACCCTCATGCACCTCTTCATCTCCAGCTAAGCCAGCCTCAGCAACAACACTATGAAACACCAGGAACTACAAAATTGGGGTAATTTTCACGTCCATATAATTTGAATGCACCAAACAAACTATCGCTATCTGGACCCTTGATTCTTGTCTAACTGGAATGCTGCAGGCTATCACTGCATTAGTGGAGTTGATGCAGACTGTGCCATTAAGCGCTCTTCTCGATCAAGTACTCCATGCTCACGAATATATGTTAAAATTATTAAAGACTGGTATAGAACCCGTAGATGTCAGGGGAAAATTGGTCAATTGACCTGGTAAATGCTAGCAAGTTGGTATGTAATAGGTATCCACAAAACAGCCACCCAAATCATGTTTAACTATGAATAAAGAAAATGTTAGCACAGTTAATGTTCTTTAACTGTCTTGATATAATTTGAATGCACCAAACAAACTATCGCTATCTGGACCCTTGATTCTTGTCTAACTGGAATGCTGCAGGCTATCACTGCATTAGTGGAGTTGATGCAGACTGTGCCATTAAGCGCTCTTCTCGATCAAGTACTCCATGCTCACGAATATATGTTAAAATTATTAAAGACTGGTATAGAACCCGTAGATGTCAGGGGAAAATTGGTCAATTGACCTGGTAAATGCTAGCAAGTTGGTATGTAATAGGTATCCACAAAACAGCCACCCAAATCATGTTTAACTATGAATAAAGAAAATGTGCTTACTTCATGCTTGTGATGCATATGCCTATTAGTTAGGAATGCGCTTAATCTGACAGATTAAAGCTAATTATAAATACTATGCAGAAAAACTTATGCAGACAACAGTAGCATCTCAGATAAAATACTCGAGAAAAGCACCAGAAGCAAACAGAATAAGAGCAGACCAAAAAAATGACCAAGAGTACACTAAGATATACCTAAAAGCTGGATCAATATGCATTGCAAAAGCATCAGCAAGGAGATACTAAATTCATATTCACATCCATGCCGACTTTCAGCATCTACCTAGAAAAAGAAAATGTAACAGTAATATTGGTAAAGTCCTACCCAGCAAAGATGAAAAACATCAGTTAATGAATTCTTATAGTGGTAGGTCACTGAAAAAGAAGAAAAAGAATGAACTACATGAAAGACTAAATGATGGGGAAATATGCACGGCGAGAATTAGATCAGTTCAGTAAAGTACACGAGATATGCCCCGTAAAAGTGATCACCACATTGTTAGCTAGTTAAAAAATATGCTTAAGTGTTGCTTAAATGAAGTCATTTCTGGATTCCAAAGATCCCAATGCTAAAGAATATCGGACTGGCATCCACAATAAATGCCATCTCAATGTACTACAAAAGCCAAAGTTACCATAGAAATTTCAGTTTACTACCACAAGTTTGAGATTTGGTTCAAAATGCCATCTCTATTGGGATAATCCGCCACTCAAGTGAAATTGCATGTCATCCTAGAGTTAAACAATATGGCAAAAACTATTTTTACCCTAGCCACTTTTCTGGAAAGCTAGAGTAGACAATCACGTTTCTAATAATTTTCATGGGCAAGGAATGATGGATGAAAAGAAGCATGGACAGAGAAGCACGTGCCATGTTTTTCATTTTAATTGTTTCATCACTTAACCATGCAAAATAATGAGCAGACCGAATGGCATCCCATAAGATGCGTGACTTCATGATGTGACAAATTAACTGAAGTTGATATGGAGATGGACACAACGGATTAACATCCATATTTCAGGAAAAAATCAAAGAATTGTTTCAGGGGTACTAAGATACTACAAGAAACTGATGAAACAATTACTATTTATTGACTTGAATATGTTACTGCCTCTGCCTCAAATGATTCGTCATAACTTTCTTTTTATCAAGAACCAATTCAGCCAAATTTCGGTTAAGACAAAAAAAATGCAAAAACAAAACAGTAATCTCAAACATTTTATACAGGACAAATATATTCTGAAACTAAAATGAATTATATGCTCACAGACGTTTGAACTTTAAGGTGTTTAACATGTGTTAAATACAAAAAAAGTCAAAATTTTTAAAAGGATATAACTATCGATTAGTATTGTATGATGCAATTAAATTTATAATCTAGTCAAAATATGACAATACATCCAAAAAATTTCATGGCATCATGAACTATGCACACACCTTCTCACAAGAGTCCATGTCTATAAAAAGCTTTCCAAAAGGATGTATAGGAAAGACAAAGGTTAGGTGTTGCTTCTTGTCCTAGCATGTGGTTTATAATTACGTATAAGGTAAAATGCATTTAGTTTAATAATATGGGAGCAACATTTTCTAAGAGAAAACATAAACAGGTAATATTAATAGGATCACTAAGATTTTGCCATCTTATGTGATCCGATAACATCAACATCTACTACAATAATGGTACCTCAGCCCTCTTTGTTTCTACCTACCAATATGAATCAATTTCCCAAATTCAGGCAATAGGACCATGTGGTCAGAATCAAAATTTTAACAACATATAGTAAATTAGAACTTAAATATGGATTGGAATAGGGAGAAACACAAATTGTAGATGACACCCCTCCCCCTCTTCAGAAAAAAAACCCTCTAGAAACATATAAGAAGTTTTCTCCTCATACCGCTCAAGAAAAATGATTGATTCGAGATTTGGTCGGTGTAATCTGTATGGAATTCTGTCTCATAAACGACAAATGGGTCCATAAATTGAATGAAAACACATAACTTTGGGCATCATATTAGTTACTGAGAAGCAAAATTTTCCATGGTTTAACTTTAGATTTTTTTGTATGGACCAAGAAAGTATTTAAACAAATAAATTAACTATACAAGATGAATTCTACCTTGCAATGAAGAAGCCTAATTTATTTATTTATTTAGTTTCATGATGGTGGTTTGTGGAACAACTTAGGCCATCTTGACTAATTCATCGGGTTTCTGTTATCTCCCACCAACATAGGTGTTAGATAATTCGCACAAAGAACTCATGTGTCGTCTTTGCTGGAGTCGAACATTGGTTCTCAATTTGTCACTCCAACTCTTTGATGGCAAGACCACTCCCCTTTGAAGCTAGAGGGGCCTTATTTCATTATAGCGCAAGAATAAAGAAAGACCAAAGATCTGATATAATCAATATAGGGAAAGTCTATTGGATTATGAAACCCTACATCACTAACTTGAAGGGAAAATAACCTTGCAATATGTCAAAGACTCCTAATCAAGGGTACCTTGGCGTCGAAAAGTTTACTAGATGCGAGTTGGTATTCTAGTCCATCTTCTAGTACCAGACCATTGTTGTGAAGCTGGCCGTGTTCTTTTAATATGTGAAGCCACTTGTAGTTACATGGGCTCGTACCATCGGCGGATTGGATGTACATGTTGTGAGTTCTAAAAGATATATATCTAACTCTATCTATACTTGGTTTTCTTTCTATACTTGTTTTTCATACATAGAGTTCGTGAGTTAACATATTTCCAAAGGATTATTATTTCAGAGATAATGTCCACAGGAAGGAAAATGCACCACCTACACAACCATATAGCAGAGCACTAAGATTATACCACACAGGCATAAAGCATGATTATCTCCTTCTCTAACGTACAACCATTTTATATATCAATATATGGTTCTTCAAACTCCCGGAAACAGCCTCTCTACCCTTTTCGGGGTAGGGTAAGGTCTGCGTACAATCTACTCTCCCCAGACCCCACTAGTGGGATTTTACTGGATATGTTGTTGTTGTTGTTCTTCAAACTGGAATGATATATCAATAGGAATAAACGAAACAGAAAAACAAACAAACAAAAGAAAAGTTTACATGTGACAACAAATACGCAGGCACCAAATATTCAACAAGCATCCGTACGACCGTACCACTAGTAAAACTAATACTCCAGTACTCCTAAAGCTTAACATTGAATACAAAAACGATGCTTCTTAGAATCCTTAAAGAAATGAAACTCCAATAACTCTGAGCACAGGTGGATCCAACCCTCGGGTTTGAACATATATATGTGTGTGTGTGTGTCTGTGTGTGCGCACGTGCTCACTGAATTCAGACCTGAATCAACATATGTGAGTAAGCTAGAGTTTTTACGAGCAAAAAGTAATAAACTAAATAATGCGTGCTACAAAAGCAAATTATTTGATCGACTACTATACAATGAAAGAAGCGACATAACGGACCTGAAAAAACGAAGCGATGGCTTTTCCGTAATTGCTAAAGTCGTGATTACAAGTGATATATATTTCCCAACTTAAGATCTGCAAAAGTTCCAAAAAGAAGCAAAACATTAAAATAAAAAGGGATACAAGTTAACAAGTGGCAACAAAAATTATGTTACTATCAAAAGAATTACTATGTAAAAAGCATAAAGATATTGAGTTTCGCGTTTGTGATGTCAGCTGTGTTCTCTTGCGGAGCTTTTCTCAGGAAATAAACAGCAAAAGCTGAATTGAATCACACCATTAACATGCATTACAATTTCATATAGTGATTGATTGAACGAAAAAAGAAGAACGTTTAACAGAAATTGCAATTGCGTACTAAATCAAACAAATTGAGTAGAAGATGTACGGAATTTTGAAGAAAGAGAGAAGGATTTTCGATTGTATTTTGCTTCAGAAAGGGAGACAGGAAGAGTTGCGTTCATACCTAACAGTAAAATAGGTTTGATAGAGATGGAGAGAGCGGTCAGAGAAGATGGAATGGGCAGAGAGACGTTAATAAATATCTTAGGTGGAGAACTGGCTTATATACGGATGAAGTTCAGAACATCTGAGAGGGTACCGATGCGGGGTATGGGTGTGGGGTCGGGTTTATTTTATCGGCACTTGCTAAAAAAAATGGAATACAAGTTGGCATCACTTTTCATTTGCCGTAACGGCTTGTCTGGAGTCCAGCGGCTCTCTAAGGCTTTGATGTACTAGTACCTGCCACCAAAACATCGTGAAGGAAAACTTACACAAATGTCCCAAATAAATCTCAATTTACCAACCTCTAGCCATTAGTCATAAACTTATCAAAACTAGCCAACAAAAATTAAAAAACCAAATAATAGGGTTCTTTCTCTCAAAGAATCACATGCAAAAATCCCCTTCCATATTTTTAAGCGTGATTAGCAACATTAGATACAAGTCCAAAAGAAAATTTCATGAACGGGGTAGCAAATAAGGTGATGAAATACAAAAATGTATACAATATTTCAAAAATCTAAACAAAAAAGGAACTTCTTCAATGGGTATAGTTGAAATTCATTGAAAATATATAGATAAGTCAATATACAAAATTTGAGGAAGATTGGAGGTGATTTGGACTGGTTTTATATCAAAATTCGTAATTAAATCGAGTTCAAAAAAGTCTTCTGCGACACATGTATCAAACATGTATCACGCATGTATCACACATACAGGTATACATGGATACACAGTGTGATACACAATTGATACATATGTGATACACAAATGATACACAGTGTGATACACAAATGATACACAGTGTGATACACATATCATTTTTTTTTTATGTTCAGCTTTTACTTCGAATTTTCAATTCAAACCACCTCAAAACTTCACCAAATCATCCCAAAACTGAGATTCAAGCTCCTTAAGTTGTGCCCAATCTATTCTAATAACACCCACTCAAAACAAAGCAAAAATTTGATATTTTTTGCTACAAATAGCTAATTGGCTAATTTGGCTAATATTAGTAATATTTTATCAATTGGCCAATTTTTGTAATGAGCTACTTATAAATGGACATAGCTGGTAATTTTCCTTTTTCATTTAGACATTTAAACCAGGCCTCTTTCCAACTCAACTTATTTCGTAGGCGTATAATATACTAATTAGACACGTTTTGTGCAAGTGGCATATAGCGTGAGTTACATCCTATTTAAACGCGTGAGAAGGAATTTTTCCTTTCCCAATTAGAAACATAACGGTAACATCTGTGAAGTAAATATCTCTCTATTTAAACCCTAATCACTTTTTCAATTGTTAAAAATCCAATTTTGCTGCTCCAACACTTCTCCTTCTCTTCTTGGTATCAACTCTTTTCGTCTCTTCTTTCTCTCGTTTCTGTTGTTGCCGAGTTTACTTTTCTTCTCTTCTTTCTCTCATTTCTGTTGTTGTCGAGTTCGTTAAAGTCGAAACTTAGAAAATATCCATTAATGTCGAACTTATCGGAATCGACGAACTCGTCAATGTCACTTCGCGCTGCCGCTCGGATTTGTAAGTGTGGTGTTTCTCCAAAATTGAATACTTCATGGACCCAACTAAACCTAAATCATAGGTTTTTTGCTTGCAAAATCGGAAAGGTAATTTTTTGTTCTTAATTGTATCCTGTTGTATTAGTTATTTTCTTTAATAATAATTGATCAAATGTGTTTGTGATTTTTGTAGAAAAATGGTGGATGTGATTATTTCTGTTGGTATGATGATGAGATGGCTACTCAAGCAAAGAAAATAATTTGGGATTTATTAAGGAGAGTCAAAACTTTTGAAGAGGAGAAAGTTCGAGCAAAAAGAAGACTGATCTTTTTGGCCGTTGTTGTTGTATTGTTGCTAGTTTTATGGAAACATTAGGGCTGATGTCCGCGTGATCTTTAGGTGTTGTTGTTGATGTCTTTAGATGTTGGTGCATTCTTGTGTTTTGATGTGGTTTGCAGATTAGTTTGGTTGTTTTAGGTGTTGTTGCTGTTGCACTTTTGTAAACTTAGCACTGCAATGTAATGTTGTATTTTGAAAGTAATAAATATTTCAGCTGTTGTTGCTACACTAATTTTTTTGCACAGCTGACTTTTGTTAAAGTGTTGAAGATTGCCGCACCATGTTCTACTAAGAAAGTTGGCATAAGAAAGCCCATCACATGGTCATCAAGCTTATCCAAGATTGCTACTTGAAGCATTTGGTTAGGTACACTCAGTGCAAACAGAAAAGCACCAATTATAGGATGTTTGCCCAAAACAAAACAAGGCGTAGCAATTGTGCATATTACAGCCCAATGGATGTTAGTTGTACTCCCTATGACTACATAACCTAGTGCCAAAATAAACAATGCACCAATATTATTGATTACTGCTATGTAACATTAACACAAAGGAATGATCCTTACCAAGTTTAATAAGAACAGGAAGATTACACAATTGAATGGAACCATAAGAGTTTAATTCTTCAAAAACTAGATCCCAAAATATAATAGTTTACTGCTACCTTAGAGTCAAGAATAGACCTTGACTATAGATAATTGTTTGTTGCTACATAATCATATAGTCAAAAAATAAGTTCCTAAGATACTACTTCTTCTGAAGTTTGCCTTCATCTGCTGCAACTGGGAAGTTGTGACAGCATCATGACCCTTCCACCTCAAGCCTCTAGCCTTAAAACCAAGGTCTATTTCTGTTGGAGCTGTACTCTTATAAGTTGAACCACTTGCAAGAACTCTTTGGCTTGTTGTTCCGGGCTGCAGTTTGCCAAATAATGAAGTACAATCAGATACGACTTTGATAAATTCACCATTTTTTTCCTTTTGACAAAAAATCCTTCGACAGCTGCATACCCAAGGTCTTTAGCATAAGCGGACAACTTAACAACATTGAAATGATCTTTATCGATAGCAACGAAAAAGGCATCTAATTCCCTTTTATATATTGGGACAGGTTCTTCGATAAATGTACCCTCATGGTAAAAACGAGTTAAAATATAGTCATCCATAATATTCCCTTACATAAAACGCCAAGGGACCAACACAAAGAAAAACTCCCAAAAAACCCTAGCTTTATCAAAAACTTAAAAAAAAGCCCTAACTGCAACAATAGAAAATAAGGAGATATTGGACCTTTAAGCGTTGTAAATACCGTAAGAGATCAGTAGAAAATAGTAGATTTCAACACCATTGACGGAAAGAAGAAGAAGCTTGTTAAGCAACAGTGGTTTCTTTCTTTGTTTTCATCGATGGAAAAGGAACAGGTATAATTTTGTTTAGATCATTTGTTTATTTGAGTATTTGATTGGAAACAAGACTATATAGGTGAAGTGGACAATTAAATGATGTGGCACGATTTTAATGGTTATTTGTTCCACGTAGACGAAGATTGCAGACACGCGCTTGGTGTATTCATAAGCCTGCACAAACGTGTCTAATTGGTATATTATATGCCTACGAAATGAGTTCAGATGGAAATAGGCATAGTTTTGAGTGTCTAAATGAAAAATGGTGCCAAATTTAGGTGTCTTTGTATGTATTATGCCAAAAAAAAAGACGTTGCGATGCAGTAAGCTTCCCTTATTTTTTGGAGAGTAATGACAAGAAACGATTTGAGCCTTCGATCTTCACTTCGATATATAATGATGTAAGCACCATGACGCAAGCAGCAGGAGTAATCGAAACGTCTCGTCGGTACAGTTCCCTAGGCATTTACTGTATGTCAGTCGACGGTCGGCCATTACCGGCTTTGAACCGTCATTGCGCAATTATAAATACCCTTCTTCTTCTTTACTTTTTCAAACTTTACTCCCAAATCTTCTTCACTCCAGTCTTCGAAATCCATCCCCTTCCTCAAAGCTTTGTATTCTCAAATCTTCGGTTTCCTTCCCTTGTTTCATCGCAAAATTCCAAGTGCTTCTTCTCAGTTTCCATTCTCCTTCATAAAAGTAAAATGGCTAAGACTTCAAAAACAGTTCCGCAAAAGGAACCTCTTCTTCATCAAGGCCCGCCGGTGACGGAACTGTGGCAGAGCCTCCCCTAGAGGACTTCGTTCTGACAAAGTGCCCTACTGCTGCCGACTTTAAGGTAGAGAATACACCTTCGACACCGGGTCGATGTCGAGATACATATGCACAGTCATCGCCGGTCTCCTCAACCAAGTTAAAAAAGACTACAACTGTGTTGACAAGCACGTGGTGGTGCCCTCGCTTGAGGAATCAATCACTACTCATGTGGAAGGGTTTGTAAGTGTTTACACTTATCCTTTCACATTGGGTCCTTTAGACCCCATCATCATTGCCTTATGCAAGAGGTATAATGTGACTCTTGGCCAGATTATTCTGGAGGATCGTGACCCTCCTCCGATTTTTTGTAAACAAGATCTAGGGGCATCCTTTTATCCTCGATCACCTTATGCGGCTCTACAGTCCTCGACTTTATCGAGGAGGATTGATCAAGCTATACCGCCGAGCGACCAAACCCCCGTTCTCGAGCATAGACGAGACTCGAGACCAAGGTTGGATGGGCCGATTTGTCCGAATAAAGACTTCGGACCTAATCCCTGCCGAAGAGATGTCGTTTCCTGAAAAATGGAACATGAATCGTAAGTATTGCTTTGCCTTGAATATCTAACTTTGCCATTTTACTTCTCATCTTTTTTCCTCATCTAAGTTTTTTGTGTTGCAGCTGTAGCCCATGTGCCGGAGGTAATCGCCGATCTCAAGCAATGGGTCGAGGGCTTAGTGTCGCAGAAGTCTTACTCCGAGCATGCTTAGATGGAGTTATCAAAGGGTCAATGGGAGGCCCGTAACCATGGTAATCTCCTTTTCTTAGAATGGTTTCCATTCGGGCTTCGCATTGGACTTACTCGTCTTTTTCCTTTTGTAGGCCTCGGGAAGGAGGTAGCAATGAGGCCCCCCTCTGCTGAAGAAGAGGCGCTTTCCTCTCCACCTGCCCCGAAGCAGGTCAAAGAGAAGAAAAGAAATGGGGCTCCGAGCTCTCCAAGCCCGAAAAAGAAAAAACCGGCGAGGAGGCCCCATAAACCTAAAGGGAACGTAATCCGTCTAACAATGGAGTCAGTCCAACAGCTAAGGGATGAGGCTAAAGAAGACAAAGAAGAAGAAGACTCCGAGTTGGTGGCCCGTGTGCGAACTATCACCAAAATTCAAAGAACGACTGGGCCGGTGGGAGCTGAAACTGCTTTGCCTCGTTTTGACAAAGTCCCTGAGCCAGAAAGAGCTCAAGACGTTTCACCTCGAGGTGAGAAGGCCGTTGAGGAGGCGGTCGATGCTAGGATAGAAACCATGTTCGAGGCCCTCCGAGATGAAGGCGGCTCCCCCAAAGATTCACTTAGGGCAATAGAGATTGGAGATTCCCCCTCGTTGCTTTCGTTCTCTGATTCGATGTTCAAGGATGCTCAGGCGATGGAGACTTGCCATAGAGAAGGGCTCCATGGAGCAGAAGACCCTTTCCTTGATTACTTTGTTGGAGTGGAAGATGTCACCGGTCTGGGTGACTTGGAAGTGCCGAAGAAGGTCTCGAACGAAGCCTCCTCGAGCTTTAAACTGACTGATCAATTCTCGTCCCCCAATGTCGATCCCGGGCATAAGCGGTCCATTATCATCTCGGTCCTGGAGGATGCTCGGGTTCTTTCTGCCCCCGTAGGGGTGACTAGCTATCTCCGATGTCTGGTCACCGAAGAAGACCAAGCCAAGATGGACGAGGTGAAAGTTGCATGTTTTTTCAACGAGGCGCAGCGTGCTCTGAATCGTGTAAGTTTGAGGGCCATTCCATTAATTTTTTAAAAACTTTGAATTGTAGATAGTACTACTTTTCTTCCTTACTTGTAGCCTTCGGTGTTGCATCACGAGGCCTTCCTTCGAATTCGAGAGGAGCGCAAGGCTGAGGTTCAGGGCCTTACTGAAAAATGCAATACCTACAAGCTTCTCAGTGAGAAGCTTCAGGCAGATTTGGTGATGACTCGGGATGAGCATGCTAAGATGGCCGAGCAGGTATTCCGAGTGCTTCATGATAATGAAGATGAGTTGGAGATAACAACTAATGATCTGATTCTGCAGGTTCGACAGATGCTCAAATAGATCAAGGACTTTCAAAGGCAAATAGATGAAGTACAAGCCGAGGCTGAAAAGTTCAAGGGGTGTATGGACATCTTAGCTTAAAAAAAGGAGGCCGTCTAAGTAGAGTTGGAGTCGGCCGAGTCTCATCTTCGGGCTGCAAGGGAGAAGGCCTCGGTACAAGCAAATAAAATCGGGGAGCTTAAGTCCAATTTAGCCAATTTGGCCAAAGAGCTCGAGGTGGACAGATCTGAGACGTCTGCGGCCAATAATAAGGCCCAGGCTAATGCGACCCAATACAAGGTCGATGTTGAAGCCACCCTAGCGCAAGCCAAGAGAATGGTGGATCATGCAAGGTGGCAAGCTCAAAAGGAGGCCCTCGAGGGGGCCCGTGATCAAAGCTTCGATATATCTGCTGAAATCGAGATTGCCAGGGCAGAGGAAGCAAAGGCTCAGAAACTGGCTTTTCCCAAGGAAGACTCCGAGAATCCGAGTGTATCCGGTAGTGGAGAAGACTCTGAGGGCGAAGATACTTCTTCCGATAAGGATCATGCTGCTTAGGCTTTGTAATTTTTTTAATTTTTCATTTTTATTTTGAGGCCGATCAGCCCTTGTACAGAACTCTTAATCGGGCCGTATGGCCCTTGTAAAAAGACTTTTGAGATATAAAAACTTTCTTTCCTTCTATGGCTTCTAAATTTGCTGTCTTTTTGTTAATTTATGAAAGGTTCAAAACACCTTAGCATAAGATTATGAAGTTGTATTCGAGGGCCCATGGTTCGGGATGGTAAGGACCGATAATAAGCATTGCTCCTGACTGTTTCTAGTCTATGGACCCCAAATGATTATTCGAACTTGAGCTTATGTAGCCCTCAAGCTTAATGATCGAGTGAGGACCTGCTCGAACTCGAAATAAGGTAGCCCTTAGGCTTTC